CGCTCAGCGCTGCTACCTCGTCTACCGACCCCTCGACCACGCAGGTAAGATCCCAAACCTCGATTGTTATTTATTTTAACTTTTTAGATTATCATAAAAATTATTAGGCGTAAGATCCATGTTCCTGTTATTTATTTCCGTATAATTTTAGATCTATCATAAAGTAATTATGTGCAAGATCCCTATTTTTCCCCATTTATTATTTTGTATAAATTTTAGATCTGTTAATTGTACGTAAGATTTCAATTCTAGATTAGTTTATGGCAATTCTTATATTTGTCGTGCAAATTTATAATTTTTTTACTATTGTTTGTTAGAATTTTGGATATGTTAATAATTATCTGCGTGTGTTTAATACATAATATTAAATAAACTATAATTATGTGATAATTAGTATTTTTAGAATAATTATAATAAATTAAAGAATTTATTTTAATAACAGGATTATTTTAGAATAATTATAAAATTTTTAGAATTTATTTTGTGGAAGAAAATCATTTTAGAATGAAAAATATTTTTAAAATAAATTATTTTGAGAAAATAGACTATTTTGAATTAATGAGAATTTATCTTATAAAAAGGATTATTTTTGAATTTATGATTTATTATTTTAAGAGATTATTTTTAGAATGATTATGGTGAGAGATAATTTGAAAGGAATTTATTTTGCAAAAAGATTATCTATTTTGAATTAATTTAGTTTATGGTCGTATGATTGATGGTTGTTGACCGCGATATTTTATGTGTAATTCATCCACCGATTCCATGATTCTTATTTTAATTACGTGACATATCATGTTTTATTTGCATAGATTAGCTGTATTTATTGTTCCTTGTTGTGTTTGAGAACCATTAGTAGTTCATGACTTAGTGGCATTGTACATCATGAACAAGACTAAGTGACATGTGTGTGTGCGTTGACTGAATTTAAGAGGTGGACCAGAGATCTAGTTCAAGTTATGATTGTTGACTTAAAAAAGTGAGAAGAGTTAGGATAGGGAAGTCTTGGTTTATGTGATCGGATAAGACTGTTGATATATCTTCCAGGCTCGCACCAGTGAATTCATGTACTTACTAGGGTTGGTTTATTGGGCCAAAGTGAATTCGTTTACTCACTTTGGTCAGTGAGAATTTAATTCGTCACCCGAGTTTAGCTTGAGTACGGACCATGCTGAAAATGGATTGCGTGTAGTCCTCTGGCCGCATGTGTAGCGGGATTGGATGCACGCAGGGGATTTATGAACAGTCAGTTATCCGGTAATATGAACATTGACTCTATGTGAGATGTGGATCAGTGACCTATTATAAGATGATTAGTTACAAACCCTCGTTACCCAGTTGATTTTTAGATTCTTATTATTATTATGATTTAGTGGTAGATTGCATTTCGATTTGTTAGATTTCCAGTTACATGTTCTATTTTTATTTCTGTTGTTGCATCAGTTATTGTATTGGTCATTCGACTGTTCTATTTTCCCTTGTGGGATCTTGTCGTGTGACATACACGCTGAC